CGCCACCCGTGCCGCCATGACGTCGCCTTCCTCTTGCCTTCGTGTTGGGACGTTAAACGTCCGTAGCCTCAGCTTTAAGCTTGGCTCCGTCCTTGCGTTGGCTCGCACTCACCATTTGCATGCCCTTTGTCTCCAAGAGACTTGCCTTGGTCAGGATGCCTTGCCTGCTGTCAGTCAAGCTGTGTCGCAAGCTGGGTATACCTTTCACGTTGGCGCCCAAACGCTGAACTCGGCTGGTGCTCCTTATGCCGGGGTTTCCTTCCTTACTCGGTGGCCGGCTCAGGCTGTCACGTTGCCGGCTTGGCCTGACGCCGCTGGCCGTGTTGCTGGTCTTCGTGTCTTTCGGCCCCGTGCCCGCCCTTTGCTTCTTGTCGGAGTGTACTTGCATGCCAGCGACGCCTTCGCTGCCGCTTCCTTGCTTGATATGGTTCTCCCTTGGGCTGCCTCTCTGGGTGAAGACTTCTGCGTCACTGGTGATTTCAACCTGCTGAAGTCCCACTGGCCCATGTCCCATGCGTTGGCTGCTGGCCAGCTGTTTGATGCTGATGATGTTGCTGGGGATCCCGCGCAGCTCCCGGGCACTCACCGCAACGCTGAAGGTGTCCTCACAGGGCGTGTCATTGACTTCATGCTCCACTCTGCGTCTGTCACTGTCCGCTCCCGTTCCCAGCACCAGGCGGTGGCGGACCATGATCTCGTTCACTATGACTTGCCCATCCTTGGGCAGCCCGCTCGGTTGTCTTGGCCCCCTCGCCCTCGCATATCCGCCAATTCTCCTTCGAAGGATGCTTGGTCTTCTGCCTGGCCTGCCTTTCGTGCTCAATTTGACACGGCGCTCGATAGTCGTAACGTTGATGCTGCTTGGGCTGCCATCTCTGCCTGCCTTGCTCAAGTGGTGTGCGATAGCGTGCCTGCTGTGGCCCCGGAGCAAGCCACCGCCCCGCGTGTCAATCCGTGCCAACCTCACCGCAAGGCTCCCACTTACCAGTCGCTCTTGGAGCGCCGCCTCCGACGGCTTGCTCGCCGTGCTGCTGAGTTCGCTCGCAATGGGGGGGATCAGGGTTTGTTTGTTGCCATCTCCCGCGATGTTAAGGATTTGTCTCCGACCTTCCCTGAGCTCGCCTCTAATGCGTGGGGTTGCCCCGAGGCCGCCCAGCTTCCTACTTCTTTGGCCAACCAGCAGGCCGAGCGTGATGCTCTTGCTCGTCTCCAGCATTGGAAAGCCACCACTGGTGAGGACATGCGTCGTCTGTGTCAGTGGGTCCGGGCCACTGTTCCCACTGAGCCTGCGCACCAGCCTGCCTGCGATACTTGGACTGCGCCGCTGCATCCTCAGCACCAGGCTGAGGAAGCCGCGGAAACCTGGAGGCACATGTGGGCCCCTACCCAGCTTCCTCAACCTGTTGGCTTTCAACAACTTCGCCACCTTGTTGTTCCAACTGAGGAGTACCCGCTTCCCGCTGTGACTGCTGCTTCCTTGTTTGCTCGGTTCCGCGCCTCCATCCGTAAAGCCACTGGGCTGGATGGTTGGGGCGCGGCGGCCTTTGTTTCTGCTGGCCTGCCGGCCTGTGAGGCCCTTGCCCAGCTGTGGGCCCTGTGTCTCCAAACTGCGGAGCTTCCCGCCGCGTGGCGGCGCATCCGCGTTGCTTTATTACCAAAGCCGGAGGGTGGCCTTCGCCCCATATCCGTTGCGTCCGCTGCGTACCGCGCCTGCATGACCTGTCTGCTCCGCGCTTGCCGCCCCTGGTTTCAGTCTTGGGCTGACCCGGAGTTAGTCGGTGGTGTCCCTGGTAGATCCATGGCGCAGACACACGATGAGCTCTTCGCTGCTTTGCATGACGCGCGCTCCAGCCGTCAGGCGCTCGTCGGCGCCAAACAGGACATTCGCAAGTGTTTTGACACGGTCCAGTGGGACCTTGCTCTTCAGGCTTGGTCTTGGTTGGGGGCTCCTGCTCCGCTTGTCTCTCTTCTGCGCGCCTTCTATGAAGGCCAACAGCGTTGGGTGGCTGTCCGCGGCCACTTTGCCAGCTCTTGCGTTGCCCCCACACGGGGCTTGCTCCAAGGCTGCCCTGCTAGTGTTGGGCTGTTAAACGGCTTAATGTTGCTTTGGGTTCGGAGCATCCGTGCTACCTCTCCCACTGTCAGCATGTCCATCTTTCTTGACGACCGTGCCCTTTGGTCTACCGGCCGGGGTGCGCCCGATCATCTTTGTACTGCCTTGCAAACTGCTGCCACTGTGGACCAAGCTTTGGCTCTGCAAGTTCACCCCGACAAGCTCGCTTGTTGGGCCACCCGTGCTCCCGCTCGCCGTGTGCTTGCTGCCCGGCCGGCCCTGTGTGGCCCTGTCGTTTCTGGCTTTAAGCTTCTGGGCATTCACTACCGCCTTTGCGCCCACACTGGTGCTGTTGACTCTGCCCGTCTCAACCCGGTCATCACAAACCGTGCTCGCCGCATTGCCATTGCGGCTCGCCACTTGCATCAACGCAGGCGCCTGCTGATGGCCTTGGTGATAAGTTTGGTTTCTTGGCTTGGCCCCTGGACTAGCGTACCTCACCTTACTGCTCAAGGGTGGGCTAGGGCTGTGGAGACTGCTGTTGGCCGTGTTGTCTCTGCCCGGTCTCGCTTTTTGCTTTGGGCGGTGTGGGCAAGGCCGCGCCTGCATCCCAAGTTTGCTCTTGCTTTCGCTGCCGTCCGCCATGAGTTGCGGCGCAGCGGTGGCGCGCAACCGCCTCCGGCTCGCTCTCGCGCGTGCCCTGCTTTGGCTGCTGCCTTGTCCACTTTTGCTTGGACCATCCGGCCGGATGGTGTGTGGTGCACGCCTTTTGGTCAGTTTAGGCCTGGGTTTCTTTCGGTTGGGGTTGCTAGGCTTCTAGCGGAAGATTCCTGGCTTCGTGAGCTGTGGGCGGCCGACCCTAAATCAGGTGGCCCGTTGCAGGCCACCTCGCATTTTGCTTTGCGTTACCACCGTGCCCAAGCGCCGCACCATGCCACTGGTGGTGCGATGCGCCGTGTCTTGCACGCTGCCGCTCATGATACTCGCACCTTGGAACGCATGCGCATTCCCTTCACGCCTTGCGTGTGCGGTGACCCGCTCCCCACGCGCACGCATGTCACCTTCGACTGCCCGGCTATGCCTTCCCCTCTGGCTCATCGCTCCTCTGCAGAGCACCGTTTCTTGGTTCCCCTGCTTTCCGGGCTGAGTGCCCCTGAGTGGCAGCTCCCGGATGTCCCTGAGGACTTGTTGCTTGCACTCTCGGACGCCGAGACGATTGACTCTGCACTGCTGGTTGCCACCGATGGCAGCGCCTTGCATGCCCCTGAGGCTCATGATCTCTTGTGGTTCCAGCACGCAGGCTGGGGCATTGCCTGTGCACCTGGTGTAGGGTTTGGTGGGGTGGTTCCTGGGTTAGATAGGTCCTCCGCTGCAGCAGAGCGCTATGCTCTCCTCGTGTTAGCCACAGCAGCTGCCCAGCTGGGTGCGCCAGTGTGTGTTTTCACAGACAACAAAGCCTTGGTTACCGGGTTCCGATCTGCTCTTGCCATAAACGGCGAGTTTCGAGCCTACTGGGCGCTTGTTCACCGCCTGCTTCCTGCAGGCTCCGCTGTGTACTGGGTTCCTGCACATGGCCGCCATCCCGAATGGGAGTCGCCACTTGCTCCAGTGCCTACCGCAAAACTGCGCGCTCTCAATGAGACTGCTGACAGCGCAGCTGGTCAAGCCACTGCGCCTTTTACCCATGTTTTCGCTGCAGCCAAGATGGCTGCGGCTCAAGCTGCCTCCTGGGCAGAAACTGCGGTGACCCGCCAAGCCTTGCTTGTTGCCACCTGGCACGATGCTGTCGCCCAGGTCGCTAGAGCAGCGGGCAGGGTGAGGGACTTCTAGACGCCTTGACTGGCTGTTACCCACACTTGTGGCAGGGTGCAGTCACGCCATACATACATGCAAGTTTTGGTGGGGGTGGTGTGGTGCACCTTGGGGGTGTAGGAGTTTTCAAAGGTCAATGAGGGGAGGGTTTAGGGTTTGGGCTTTGGGCTTTGGGGGTTGGGGTTTGGGGTTTAGGCGGTTTAGGGTTTAGGGTTTAGGTCCTTTCCGGTTCACCCGACATGGGTTCCCCTAAGCACGAAAACCCTCACCCCTACCTCCCAAGATTAAAAGCCACCCCTAAACCATAATAAAACTATCATGGGCTATCTAGTAATAGGGGGTAGGGGGGAGGTTTAATATTAGCTCACCCCTACCTCCCAATATTAAAAGCCACCCCTAAACTATAATGAAACTATCATGGGGGTATTGGGGGGTAGGGGGGAGGTTCAATACTAGGGGTGGGGATTAATCATGATGCGACGGTTCCCTTATACAAAATGGGAGTTTCCCAAGATAGGGGTAACCATTTAGGGGGGGTCCCTGCAAGGGGATTCTACTTTACTTGAGGTATAAAACTATTTTGGGAAATGCCCAAATCAAGAGTCACCCCCTATAGCGTGGCGGGCGAATAGTGTGTGATTAACCACCTCTTCCACAAATCAGGACACTCGAGATTCAGGTCTTTGGGGAGATTAAGCAATTGCCCGAGGTGGGGTGATGGCGAACAGGCTTGAATTGTTGGAGCCTCAATTTTAACGCTACGCGACCCGCCTCGGCCTGGCCGAATGCAACTTGCCTGCTTTGTGCCACCCATACACCTACGGCCCGAGGCCTCGGCGGATTTGACCCTAAATCCTAATCCCAAACCCTAAACTGATTCAGACGCACGCAGTTCGGGGGCCGTGGGGGGCGGGGGGGGGGGGGGGGCGGTTCGTTGCAAAACTTGACTAGCGCCTGGCAGCTCCACACACACACATGGTCAAGAATCCCCTGACCCCATCATGCTGAACAAGATTAGATAGGGCTAGGGACGTCATCAGGGTGTAGGGAAGCTGCCGAATATTCCCACCCTAAACCCTCAGCCCTTAACCCTTAACCCTAAACCCTAAACCTCTACACTTACAGCAGAATGCAGGAGCAACGAGAGCCTCCGGCTTGCGTCAGAGGCGATAGCTGAGCACTACAAGGACCTTACTGCCCTGCTGTTTGCTTGTTCGTCATTCGGTCAGCCTACTGCTGCCGCTATGCGTGGGTCCTACTGAGGAGGAGCCTGTTACGGCACATGCACGCTCGAATAGGGTGTGTTGAAGTCTTGTTTGGAGAGGTGGTGACCCTAAACCCTAAACCCTAAACCCTTTGCTGTCATAGGGGATTGCAGAGAGGAGTCTGAGGCACCAGTCCCACTTAAGCTTAGTGGGGATCTGCACATCTCGGCAGAGCCCTGCAAGACAAAGCTATGCACGTTCAGGGTTTAGGGTTTGGGGTATAGGGTTTTGGTACATGGTGCCCCAAGGCTGAAGATTCAGCAAGCATGCCCTTCGACACAGTGCCCGAAGCTCCCCAACAAGGTCACAAGGAGTCCTAGTAGCCGTCCAACTCTCGCGCTTGTTTCAGAACTCGGCAATTTTCCCGAATAATACCCAAAAAAACACCCCAAACCCCAAACAACCCTAAACCCCTACACGCCCACTCAAGTTACCACCGCAAGTTCCCAGTACTCGGCATACCATTTGATCATGAATCTTGACGTCGAGCTGGCAAATGTAAATACGTGTGTGCATATTTTTCTCTGCAATCATAGTTGTAACTAAAGAGCATGAAACAATATATATATATATATATATTATAGCCAAGTACGCAGATGTGTACGTGTCATGTGCTGCTACATGTGTGTACTGTACATGTATATCTGTATCTATATCGACATCTGCATCTATTTCTATTTCTATTTCTAGACATATGCAGATCGAAAGAGAGAGATTTTGTTTATGTATATAGAATTATATGTATATATATATATATGTATATATGTATAGAGACACCGTTCTCTGTCTCTGTCTCTCTCTCTCTCTCTCTCCTTATATATATATATATATATATTATTTTTTTTCGTCGGTGTTCAGTGCGCGGTTCAGATCAGCCTCCCCAGCAGTGACTTTCGTTTCCGAGAGGATGCCGAGGACAAGCCGGCCCCACTTCTCCGACTGCTCGATTGGATCGAGGTTGTGATGGGTGGTGCGTGGGAGGCCCGATCCCCCGCCCTAAACTCTAAACCCTAAGCCCCAAACCCTGAACCCTAAACCATAAACCCTAAACCCTAAGCCCAAACACTTTGTACATCAGGTGATGTCTGGCTGAGGGTGTAGGGTTTATAGGGTTTACCAGGGGTCAAAGGGGGTATGTAACCCAAGGTTCCCTGATACTCCCACTACTCCCTCTGGCTCAAACCCTAAACCCTAAACCCTAAGCTTCCTAAGTACCTACCCACCCATGGAGCCCCATTGAGGACCCTATTATTTCCCTAAGCCGTAAACCCTATAGACCCTAAACCCTGTAAGCCCTGAAAGATTTTTTTTCTTTTTCTTCAAGAGGTGGCTACAGAAGAAAGTGACGTGCTGTCGCGTGCGGTTGTGGAAGCCGACTTCTTTGCCGCAGACCCAGCAGTCCGCGGGTTTAGGGTTTAGGGTTTGGGGCTTAGGGCTTGGGGCTTGGGGCTTGGGGCTTAGGGGCCTTAAAATTCGAATAGGTTTTTTCCTTTTTTTTGGGGGGTGGGGGGGTGGGGGGTGCTTATAGTAGAATCATAACAGGGTCGGAGGTCTTACCTGAGACCCTCTTAACCTCTTAGGGACGGGGTAGGAAAACTTGATCCTCTGGCTCTATAGAATCCTATTTTGCAAAAGCTTAACCTTTGTTGGGCTAGGGTATTCGGCCCCAAAGTATGGGTTTTACCTACTAATTCGGGGTAGTTAGTACTAAGCTGTAGGTAAAGAGGGTCCCAGGTACAGGTTCAGGAGTTGGAGTTTCCGAGTTGCACGGAAGGCAATAGGGTTTTAGGGTTTAGGGTTTAGGGTTTAGGGTTTAGGGTTCAGGGTTTAGGGTTTAGGGTTTAGGGTTTAGGGTTTAGACTTTGGCATGTTGAAGGATTTAGGAGGGGGGACTTCTGCCCTTGACAAAGTGCTACTCAGAGATACCGTCCTTCCCCTCTTTGTGTTGAAGCGCTTAGGGCCTTAGGGTTCAGAGTTTTTGGGGGCCTGTAGGGGCCTATAGACTGCCTCTTCACCGCAATCCCGAAGAATCCCTGTGATTGCCTGAATAGGGCCTTGAACCCTCCGCAGACACAGGATGTGGAGGAGATGGTCGACACATCGATACGGCTTCGCAACTTCACAGACAAGGCGTGCGCGCGGTGCCCTTTTCCCCTTTTTTTGGGTCCCAGGTGCCCTTACACAGCAACCAACCGAGAACAGGGTACCCTTGTTGTGATATGGTTACAAAAGCATGTAAGTAAGGCCCACAGTGGGGTTTGGGTACAGTTCTGCTAAACCCTAAACCCTAAACCCTAAACCCTAAACCCTAAAACCCTAAAACCCTAAAACCCTAAACCTTAAACCCTAAACCCTAAACCCTGAACCTTTTTTTCTGAGCCAATGCCAGCTCTGCATGGGGCTTCAACAGAATTCTGAAGCGGGGTCTTTTATACCAGGTAGGCTGTTGGGACATTTGTTGTTTTCCCTTAGTGGCTTTTAGAGGATCATGTGCAGGAATATTTCCCCAAACCCTAAACCCGAGACACTAATGAGGGCTTGCAGGGCCATCCTAGTACAGGAAGACATCTGCATCAGAAGCTGCTCCGCCCAGCTTTCTTCCCCAAGCCCTAAACCCTAAACCCTAAACCCTAAACCCCTTCGAGCGCCCCTGGCAGATGGAGCAGAAAGTCCAGGAATGGAAGGCAGAGGAGGCGGAGCTGAAGTTGCTGGAGTTCGAGGCGCCTCCAAAGTCCTTAATCCGAAGCCCTTATTCGTTGAGGTTTAAGGGGGTTTAGGGTTTAGGGTTTGGGGTTTGGGGTTTAGGGTTTAGGGTTTATGACTCCGGTTTACAGTGCTTCATGGGTGTTCGGGTTTAGGCTTCAGGGTTTAGGGGGTTTATAGTGGGGTTTCAGGGAGTTGCAGAGTTTAGGATTCTTCCCTCGGGCCTCTTGTTTTGGGAACCTAGGCTCAGGCATTCGGGTTTAGGGCCTATGGAAAGTTCAGAATGACAACGAGTGCTTCGGGATTCAGGCGCACGGCTTCATCGATTGACCCTCAACCCTAAACCCTAATCCGAAACTTGTGGCTTGACAGACGCCCCCTAAACCCTAAACCCTAAACCCATAACCCTGACTCATTCCTGGCCTTGTCTTTCAAGCTCGAAGATGTCCTCTGCTAGCTACGAACCCCGAAAAAGCAGATCTGGACGCAGAACGCCTTGCCCTGCGATCCCTAAGCCCCCTAAACCCCTCAACCCCTGAGCCCATGTATTCCGAAACTTTGGCCTGTAAGTCCTGACCCTAAACCCTAAACCTTAAACCCTAAACCCTAAACCTAAACCCTAAACCCAAACCCCTTGTGGCGTCTCCCTGTTCCTTGGCGAGAGGCGCGCTGCGCCAAGAAGGCCCTCGCCTACGAGGACTCCTGTCCGCCCTCTGGGACGTTCCGTTAACTCTGGGTCTAGGGTTTAGGGCTTAGGGTTTAGGGTCTAGGGTCTAGGGTCTAGGGTTTAGGGTTTAGGAATGTGGTCGCTTCTCGAAATGATCGTGCTTTTTGGGGTCTCTATTATAAGGCGGCCCTTAGTATTTCGGGTACCCACAAAGGACCTTAGTTTTGACAACTGGCCATATTCGCCTTCAGACAAGGTTTCAGTAACCTCGTCCAGACTTTGTAAGTTAGCTCGTCATGCAATTTAGGGTGTGGGGGTTTAGGGTTTAGGGCTAGGGTTTAGGGTTGGGCCCACAATTCACACGCAGAGCTCGCGAGGTTTTGAGCGTGGGGTTTGCAGGCTTGAAGGGGGGTTCACGATTTCCTGTTCCAGACGGTTCCTGCAGTTTGGGTTTCGGGCCCAATAAGAACCCGAAACCCTAAACCCTAAACGATTCGTTAATTTAGGGTTGAGGGCCCAATCAGCAACAACTGAACAAGTATACTACTGTCTGCTTAAGAGCCCCCCCCCATAAATAAATTAGCAAAAAAAAAATATATATATACATATATATATATATACATATATATATATACATATATAAGTCAGCTAAGTTTATATTTATATTTATGTTTGTGTTTATTTTTATATTTCTATGTATTTTCTATTTCTACCTATTCTACTTATATATATATATATATATATTTATAACTTATACAGGCAATATAGGGGTTATTTCTTTATCATTTTTGGTGTTCTTCAGGAAATAGTAGTAAAAGGTAAGATTTTGCTCTCTTCGTTTTGGGCCGACTTCCCTTGAAGGAGTAGGACCTTGCTTCGAAAAAAAGCGGTCTATTCGGTTCAAAAGTGTCTCAACTTAGGAAGCCCTCACTCCCTTGCTCCCTCGTTTAGGGGATTGAAACCCTGAGCCCTAAGCCCAGAACCCTAAAAGACTTGGCTACGTTCCTGGGTTAGGGTTTAGATTCTAGGGCTTAGAACCGTTTAGGGTTTACCGTGTTTTTAGGGTCTATAGGGTCCAGAGGGTTTATAGGGTTTATAGGCTTTATAGGGTTTACAGGGTTTACAGGGCTTACAGGGTTTACAGGGTTTATAGGGTTTCTAGGGTTTATAGGGTTTATAGGGTTTATAGGTTTTACAGGGTTTACAGGGTTTATAGGGTTTATAAGGGTTTTCTAGGGTTTATAAGGGTTTAGGGCTTCACACCTTGGCTACGGTGCTGGGCAAGCCTCGTTGTCGCTGGGCGAGGACCGCATCGCCCGCCTCGAAGCCGAGATCGCCCGTCGTGCCGGCAGCGCCGCGTTGCCTGGGCGGCAGTGGCAGGTTTTATGGGTTTTTTTGTGGGGTTTGGGTTTTTGTGGGGTTTGGGTGAGAGTTTTTGCTGGGTTTTTCGAGGGTTTGGTGGAGGGTTTGTGGGGTTTGGGTGGGAGCTTTTGTCGGGTTTTTCGAGGGTTTGGTGGTGAGGTTTTGGGGAACCTTCCAGAACCCAGCAACCACCCTCTATGCCTACTATATAATGTACACTACATAATTATATATATATAGATAACATATATACAGCATTAACAGGTAATGACAACTACATCGGGTCTGAAGTTCAGACGGCTAGGATTTTGCAGGTGGCAAGAGACAGAATCCTTTGAGCGAACGTCTTTCAGTTTACATTCTTCCAGCCGAGCGCCGGACATGCAGGGAGCTGCATTGAGCACAGGCATAACACGTAAAACGTGATATGCAACAAATATTGCATGGTGTGTAATACAGAATTTAATTTCTAATATACGTATCAAGTTTTACAACTGTAGCTGGGGGGTCTTGGGAGATCTTCACGTATAGTACTTGACATCTCCACTTACGGGGTTGGAGGCCGGCTTTGCAGGGTTTCCGACATGGTCAACTTGTAGTGGGGCGTTTTAGGCTTCTTGAGACTGTACAGAAACAAGCCTGGGCAGGATTTAGGGGTATCCTGTCTACGCAGCTGTTCAAAACTTGGGAGTCCCTGGCCGCTAAACACCATCGCAGAACATGAGAAAGCTTGGAAAGGAAAGGTCAGACCTTGCGGAAGCACCGCAGAGGGGTTCAACAACAATTTTTAAAGCAGAGTGAGGCACGCAGCTTGAAACCTTAATTAAACCCTAATCTCCTGAACCCGTGAGTTTGTTTGTTGAGCTTGATAGCGGTGCCGAGGCGCCCCAAGGCCAAAGCGAAGCGACTTGCCTGCAAGAGAACAGCCTTTAAACCCGACAAGTCCTGTAAGCCCCATGTTCCAAGTAAGCGCTATAAGTCCTCCTACTTACCGTAGCTCAAGTGTCGGTAGTGGTGACCTTCGGAACCAGGTAGGTAGGTTATCATTAATTGTTTGAGTTCAGTTCTTTCCTCGTTTGAAAATCTGTTGTTGTTTTTTTTTGGCGCTTGGGGAGGGGGGGGGGGGGGGCTTTTCCTTTCCCTGGGTGTGTGTGTAGGGAGATGCCTGCTGAAAGCCAGCGAAGCTTGCTTTGTAAACCCTAAACCCTAAACCCTAAACCCTAAACCCTAAACCCTAAACCCTAAACCCTAAACCCTAAACCCTAAACCCTAAACCCTAAACCCTAAACCCTAAACCCTAAACCCTAAACCCTAAACCCTAAACCCAAACCCTAAACCCTAAACTCCAGGTCCGGGTTTGGAGACCGGTCTTTGGTTCCCAGGTGCTTCTTGGACCCCTATCGGTTTGCAGCTTTGGGCTTAGGGACCCTCAAAAAGATCCGCGAAGGGTTGAGGGTTTAGGGTTTAGGGTTGGGGGTTTAGGGAATCTGCGGCCCATATCAAGAGTTGGTTAAGGGAACCTCTTAACGGGTGCGTACATCTTTAGGGTCCGGGTAGGACCCCCTTGACAGCCGTGTTTCCGTTGTGTTGAGATTGGCGTAAGTCCTGCATGGATCCGACCCCTGTGTCCTCGAGTTTAGGTGTTTTCGGACCCTAAACCCTAAACCCTAAACCCTAAACCCTAAACCCTAAACCCTAAACCCCAGGCCCACCTCGGTGCCGGAGGAGGCCCAGAAAGCGGAGGAGTCCCTGGCAGTTTAGGGTTTAGGGTTTAGGGCTTAGGGTTTAGAACCCTGAACCCCTAAACCCTAAATCTTAAAAGCACAAGCCTTGCGCACATCCCAGACCCCAATGCCCTCAGCAATCATCCGCGCAAAACACAAAATCCAGTCCACAAAACCCCTATAAGCGCTAAATTAGTTTAGGATTTAGGGGGCCCTAAACCAATCGAAGACTCCCAACCTCGACCTTAATTCTTAGGGACTGGGTAGATAACCTTTTACCTTTTGGTAGGTTTTTTGGTTTTTATTGAAGTCTACTATACCTAAAAGGTTAACCCCTTTGTTGGGCTAGGGTATTCAGCTCCCAGGCTTCATGTTCACCCAGAGCTTCAGTTTTTCTAGGTTTTCCTCTGCATCCCAAGGGTCCGGAGTGCAGGATGTTCGCCAGAAGTCTTCTGAAACCTTACCAACAGTCCCCAAACGGCGGAGGGCTTAGGGTTTAGGGTTTAGGGTTTAGGGTTTAGGGTTTAGGGTTTAGGGGTTTGTTTTGGGCACAACTTAATGACTGAATGCTCAGCCGGCTACATGTGCCTGGTTGCGTCTGCGTGATTCAATATTCTCCGCAAAGCCTTGGGGACTCAATGAACCCGAACCGGGTTTACGTCCACATACCTGAGTAAGAATTAGAATAGCAATCCCTAAACAGCCTAAACCCTAAACCCCAAGTAGAAGGTTCATCTGGTACCCCACAAACCATGATGCAGAGGAAGCTCCAGAGAAAGAAAAGAAGACAACGCCACCGCCGCCGCCACAAGTGACAGAGTTGGACCATGGTGCCTTGGATAGCAAGTTCTGTACCTCAATGTTGTCCTCGGTTTAGTGTCCGGGGGTCCCTAAACCCTAAACCCTGAACCCTGAACCCTAAACCCTAAACCCTAAACCCCACCCCAACCCCACCCCAACGACTGCGGGTTTACGGGGCACTGGACATTTGTTCCACAAACTTCGACCTTTCATCCAGGATTTCTAGCCAAAGCCGAAGAACTAAACCCTAAACCCTAAACCGTAGGCCCTAAACCCCAAACCCTAATCCCCAAACCCCAAACCCTAATCCCCAAACCCTAAACCCTAAACACCAAACCCCAAACCCTAAACCCTAAACCCCGCTAAGGGGCCGTCGCCGAAGCCAAGCGCGTGGTGGAAAGCATCCGAACAGACAGGCTTGGTTCATCGTGCTTCCGCGAACCTTGCCCTAAACCCTAAACCCTAAACCCTAAACCCTAAACCCTGGGTCCATATGGTGTTTCTCGGCTACTCAGGGTTTAGGTTTAGGGTTTAGGGTTCCGGGTTTAGGGTTTAGCATTGTTTAGGGTTTAGGGCTCCGGGTTGCACAGGGGCCTAAACTCCTCGAGCGATTTCATGGTGCGGTGGGGGATGGGATGGGGTGGAGAGCTCAAAAACCCTAAACCCTAAACCCCTAAAAAACGAGAAGGAGGGCTCTTTGCTGCCACGTACCTTTGTGGGGGGGGGGTAGTACTTGAAATATACTTAGTAACTGAATGAGTACACTTTACACTTTTTGGGATACGATATTCCCCTATAGAACTGCAGGTGTACACTTTTTTGGGGTTTGTGAACTCAGCAACTAAGTATAGGGTTTAAGATCATGGCACCCTAAACCCTAAACCCTAAACCCTACACCCTAAACAGTGCCCCGGGATCATGTCCCGGATTCCCGACACGTTTGGGGTTTAGGGTACTCTCCCTGTGGTATAGCGGTTTGTGCCCGAGGCTTCCGCCAGAACACTGCTGACCCTTAGGGTTTAGGGTTTATAGGGTTTAGGGTATAGGGTTAGGGTTTAGGGTTTGGGGATTAGGGTTTAGGGTTCAGGGTTTAGGGTTTAGGCTTTAGGGTTTAGGACCCTCCAAGAACTTATGCTCACAATGTTCCCGTCACGCACTTCCCGAAGACCAAAGCTGAACCTGAACAGCCCCATGCCAAAGAGACCCAAAACTCTCCCTACAAATTTCAGAAGGACCCCGAAGGGGGGGGGGGGGGGGGGGCGGGTGGTGGTAGGGGAGGCAGCCCCACAAAGCTACCTTATTCCGTCCATGATTCGGGTCCTAAACCCTAAACCCTAAACCCTAAACCCTAAACCCTAAACCCTAAACCCTAAACCCTAAACCCTAAACCCTAAACCCTAAACCCTAAACCCTAAGCCCTAGCCGACAGGCTTGTGAACTGCGAATGGGAAGAAGGCATCACAGAAGAGGTGAAAGCAGGGCTCCTGGGCATGCGCAGGCAGGGAAGCTCTGTCAGTTGCGGCGCGTGGTTTGTAGCGTTTGGGCCACGGCTTTCATACGGGGGTTTCCGAAAATGGGGGTGGGGGGAGGGAGGGGGGTACGTACCCGTTTTGGGGGTTCCTATAATAATTAAGGATTATCGTGTTTTGGGGGTATATTAGGGGTACCCCTATTTGGGAAATGCCCATACGTGCGCGTGGATGGTGGCTCCTCAAGTGTTGGCTTTCCTAAAGCCAGAATGTGATTTTCGAGGTTTATGGGTGTTGGTTGGTGCAGGAGTTTCAACTCCTGGGTTTCCAGCTGGGTGTTTGGGGTGGAGAGTTCTGATAGCTTGATCTAAGCCAGGGATTTCGGCTCTGACCCCCAGAGTCTTAAAAACCCGAAGCCCTGGACCCCAAAGCCCCAAACGGCCCTAAACGACCCTACACCCTGCAACAGTCAGAGCCGGTTCTGTTAGCCCCAACCTCAAAGTTGCGTAGGCCATATCGTGATTAATTTGGTGCCCATCTGGGTTCTCATGGGTACTCTGAGGCTTTACAGCAGCGGTCACCATACTACTACGTGCTTCAGAACCCCAAAAGACTAGAAAATATTCATCTCTATATTGCCCTTCATAAGGAGGATTTTTTTTTATTTTTTTTTGGTTTTTTTGTGTTCTGATTATATTCCCCTTAATAAGGAGGATTGTTTTTATTGTTTTTGGGGGGTTCTTAAGCGATGAGTAGCATAGCACGTTAAGGCTTGAGGGCGAGCGGCCTTCAGGCAGCGGGTAATTTTCGCTGTAGCCAAGTAGAACCCCAAGGGTCCACGTAGCTAAATAGGGAATACTTGGGCCTTTAAAATACTTCCTATATAAGGACTTTGGGGCCCTTAGGGGAAGTAGCTACCCGAGACCTTGAAGAAGTTCTTTTCTCGTGGGGCTCAAGAGGATCTTACTTCGGCTAGATTGTTCAGAGGGCTTACAGGGCCAACCCATGCATGAGTCACAGGAGCGGTTTCGGGTCTAGGGTTCAAATTTCGGGTTTATTTCGGGTGTGGCGAAAGCTATAGCTCTTACAAGAACCACAAACACTCTTAGGCCTGTTCCCCCTGGGAAGGTCCCTGTGCGCTGCAGTGGAAAGGCCTACAAGGGGTTTCGGGGGCCGAGGGGTTGGTGCATTCAATGCTTGCCTCTAAACTCTAAACCCTAAACCCTAATCAAACCCTAACATAAACGCAAACCCAAACCCTAAAACCTCAACCCTAAACCTTATTGGGTATCCCTCCCCCCCACTCCCAAACAGAAGCAAAAGACCAGAAGGGGGTTTCGGAAGGCCGTTGTCATGGGTACCTTGTTCTGTGTGTCCAGGTAGAGAATGGGTTTTTGGTTTCGGGTTGTAAGGCCTTGGCTTTGGGGCTGAGGGTGCGTGAGTTTAAGCGACAACGGGCTTAGAATGGATGAACCGAACCTTAGATCTTATCTGGGTTGGCTTTTGGGACATTTCTGTTTTCCTTATTGGGGGGTTCATGTCTTTTCAAGGGCTTAGATGCCAACCCAGATAGATTGACATGCAAGAGCTGGAACCATCGCAGCTCCGTCGTTCTACGGACCGAGGTCCAGAGCGCGCCATGGGCACGTGCTGTCCCTATATGGGCTATTGTCCCCTATAACTTATAACCCCTTCAAAAAAAGGCCCCTTTATAGGGTTGACTAGGGGATTATAAGGCCATTGTCCCCTATAACTTATAACCCCTTCAAAAAAAAGGGCCCTTTTAGAGGGTTGGTTAGGGGACTTATCACCCCTTAAAAATGGCCCCTTTAGAGGGTTGGCTAGGGGATGATAAGGCCCAATAGCCCATGCTGGGATCCTGACGCCAGCTCGACGAGAGGGCCATGGGTTCCCCTACTACCCCCCTCTATACTACCCCCCCTAGGTTCCCCCCCAAAAAAAACCCTTAATTAAGCTTAATACTTTCCCTGAATAGCCGTAATTAAAGGGGGGACTTTAGGGGGGGGGTAGTATAGAGGGGGGTTGTAGGGGAACCCATGATTAAGGCAAGCGCGCCGCGGCACAGGCCGTTGGTGCGGATGAGCCGTTTCCTCCAGACCCACGTGCCATCGTAGCTGGGGTCCCAGGGCACCCCACCCTCTTCTTTTAGGGCAAAAGGTTTAGGGGTTTTAGGGTTTAGGGTTCAGGGTGCCAGAAGTAGTGGCTCTAGGAACCCTAAACTCAACATCCCCCCAACATTTAATTAGGATTTGTGGGTTTATGGTTTAGGGGTTTAGGGGTTGCCCTAAACCCTGAACACAAAACAAGCCTAAGCCCTAATCCTGAATTTCAAACCGCCTGTCGTTTGGGCGCAGGCAGTGGCATGCCAAGGGAGAGCCTCAAACTGGGATCCTAGCCCCAAGAAACTAGGTACCCTACACCCTAAACCCAAACCCTAAGCCCTAAACTTTTTAAACCCTAGACCGCGTAGGCCCTGGTTTTTTTTGTCTTTTTCCTTATTGGGTTTAAGAGGAGCACATTTAGGAAGGTTTTTCAGATGCTTTTAAGGGCCATCATAGAAACAATCCCTCTACACTTTCGTAATTCGTGGAGCATGAACTGTCCCCTCCCTCTAAACCCTAAACCCTTAACCCTAAACCCCAAGCCCTAAACCCCCGAAAGATCTGGGGTCCGAACAGGCTGGCGATGGACCTTTATGCAGATGAGTGCCATTGCCTGTGGGAGCTCATACAGAATCTTGGTAGACCACTGGTACCCTTTTGCCTTTTTGGGTTCTAGGTACCCTAAACCCCAAACTCTAAGCCCTAAAACCCTAAACCCTAAACCCTAAACCCTAGACCCTAAACCGAAAGCCTTTATGGTAATATGGTTACTGGGCTTCCAAGGAATGCTGATGACAACAAGTGCGCAACTTCTCATCGGAGCTGCAACAACCACGGTTCTGTGATGTTCTTGAGAGCCTGAGGGTAGCAACCTCAGGAACCCTAAACCCTAAACCCCAAACCCTAAACCCTAAACCCTAAACCCGAAACCCTAAACCCTAAACCCTAAGTTTGGGGCCTTTGGAGGTATGACAGCGGCGTGCAGGTGCCGGAGCTTTCCCTGGCCTTAGATGTGGACCCTTCCCATGGAGCCTTTGCCCGTTCCTTACTCTGCAGGGTCTCAGGTTTATGGGGTTTAGGGGTTTAGGGGTTTAGGGGTTTAGGGGTTTAGGGGTTTAGGGGTTTAGGGGTTTAGGGGTTTAGGGGTTTAGGGTTTAGGGTTTTGAGCTTTACAAGAATGAGTGCCTCTGCTACAACGCTAGGGTCCCTTGTTGGGTAGGCCCAATGTGCAGTTTATGGTTTTGAGTTCAGGGTTTAGAGCCAGCCCACGGGGTTGTCTGACAAAGGCTGCCAAACGACTCGGCTTAGGGCTTAGGGCACGACAGAATGTAGGGCTTAGGGTTGAGGGTTTAGGGCTCAGGCACTGCAGAGCATCGAATGCACTGCCAGGCGAACGTAAAGCACACAAGCCTCGTCCCCGCACACCACCTAGAGCCCCGAATAAAGTTCACAAAGCCAAATGCCAGTAGGCTTCCCCAGTAGCGACAGAATGACAGACTACGAAAGGATGCACAGTTTGGCTCCCTAATCCCTAAACCCTAAACCCTAAACCCTACACCCTAAACCCTAAACCCTAAACCCTAAACCCTGACACACAGTTTAGCTCAAGCCCCAACTTCGCCCCGCCCTAACTTCCGTTTGGAACCAAACCCCACGCTTAACGAAAACGAGTCACCACAGGTGAGGCAATTACTTTTCCCAAGTCCCCAAACCCTGAGACCCTGAAACCCTGAAACCCTGAAACCCTGAAACCCTAAACCCTGAACCCTGAACCTGGGAACTTCACGCTCCATCCTGAACCCTGAAACTTCGTTCGGAACCCAAAGCCCTGAACCCTGTAAAAAGGAAGGAAAAGGATAAGTGCCCTAAGCCCCGAAACCCTAAGCCCTAAACCCTAAACCCTAAACCCTAAACCCTAAACCTTAAACCCTAGACATGGGAATCCAGAGGTCTGGACCTCGAACAACGAGATCGGTTTGACTGCTGAGGTGCAAGTAAGGAGGTTCAGGGTTTCAGGGTTTATGTAAGGTTTTAGGGTTTTAGGGTTTTAGTTTCAGGGTTTATATAAGGTTTTAGGGTTTTAGGGTTTTAGTTTCAGGGTTTCTATAAGATTTTAGGGTTTTAGGGTTTTGGGGTCTTAGGGTTTGCGGAGTTTAGGGGTGTAAGGGTTTAGGGGTTTGGGGCTTTGGGTTCGGATTTAGGGTTACATGTAACAGGTTTGGAGGTTCGGGAACCGCCCGAAAGGCCCACATGGGTTCGGGTTTTCTATTCCGGTTTTGGGTCAGTGTATATACTGGTGTCCTGGGATACGAGAAATCCACCCTACTTCATCTACTCTGTTATTTAGGGCACAGGGCAGCTGTTAGGGGAGAAGGGTTTAGGGTTCAGCAAGGCTTTGCTTTCCAAACGATTCCATACTAAGAGGAGAGAGGCGCCCAGCACGGAAGCTTTACTTACGTGTCTTGGTGGTTCGGCAGAGCGTCGCGCAGATAGGTAGGTGTCGTCACATTCAGGAAGGGGCTTGTGTCAGCTGATCCAGAACCCTCGTGAAAGTCTACTCCCTAGAAGACATAGTCCCGAATAGAATCCTTCAACCCCCTACACCCTGAACCCCGCTCCACCGCAAACCCTAAACCATGAACGGCATGTCAGGACGTCCGGGCCATCTGCAATGTGAATGCGAGTCTAAAGGGCGCCGGGCAGACGGGGCACAAGGCCCAGCAAAGTCGCCAAGAGCTCTTCCTTGGCGACTTTTTGTTGCTCTTTGAGATTGATGACTTAGTATGCTTCAGAGGGTTAACTCGGACGCAGGGGGATTTCTACGGGGGGTTTGTGGGGGGGGGGGGGGGGGGGGGGGGCGGGGCCTAGGTTTCATATTTGTTGGAGTTTTAGGGTTTCAGAGTTCAGATGGATTGCAGTGCAGGTGAACTGAGCATCAGATTGCATCCCCCTATTGGGGAGTGCGGGGGTAAGCTTCATGAGTTCATGCTTGAACAGCTGTGCTTTCCGTCACAGGGCATTGGCTGGAAGAGCGTCTTCCGCATCAGCGACTGCCCGCACGTATTGCTGCGAGCTCAGGAGAAGTCTGTGCAAACTGATGGGTCACTGCAACTGCAAGGCCACCTTGTCTTAATGCCCAACCTTCATACCCAAACGCAACAAATTGACAAGAAACAGACAAATCCCCAAACCTCAGCTAAACTTACCGTGACCCTGAATCTTCCATGAGTTTCGATCCATGGAGGTCGAGAGAGTTTGCCTTCAAGTTCGACACAGCCGGTCCTCTAGGCTCGCCCGCCAGCACGGGTTCAGGGTTTAGGGTTTAGGGTTTAGGGTTTAGGGTTTAGGGTTTAGGGTTTAGGGTTTAGGGTTTAGGGTTTAGGGTTCAGGGTTCAGGGTGCAGGGTTTAAGGACCTGGTAGATTCCACGCGCCAGAATTCAACCCATCCGTCTGAAGGTAACACATTAAATTCATCTTGAAGAACCTATATTTTTTATGGGCACTGTGCATCGTGACATCGTGGATTCCCGCACGGGCTCAGTCCAACCCAAATCCGGGGTCCATACCCCTTAAACCCTAAGCCCGAAAATCTTAAACTTCTTAGGGCTCGTAAACGTTTGAGGTTTTGCTCTTCTATTTCCCTACTTTTCGAGAACCGCGACACTCTAAATGGACTCCAAAGCTGTCTTTTGGCCATGTTGACAGGGCAACTTGCGTTCGTGACGCCCACAAACCTCACTGACGAGGCACGCTTTCCGTCTCATGTCCTGACAAATGTTGATTTCGGCCAGCCTTCAGGCAGAAACCCCTACACTGCAATACTATACCCCTGCCTCATTGCTATACCTATGGGCATCTTGACCTTAGACGAAAGGCACCTGAAGCATCCCTGAACCGACTCCCCTGGTTGGTTCCCATGAGCCAGACATAGTCTCACTGGGTAAACCCAAAAACCAAAACTCAAGGCGACCCTGAACGTACGTTTGTCAGGGCGGTTCGCTCACCCCCCCCCCCCCCCCCCCCCCCGGCCCCGGCTCCCCCAAAAGAGTAGCAAGCAAACTTGTCAAAATAGTGCCATCATCTGCTTGAAGAAGAAGAAGAAGTGGTGGTAGTAGTAGTCGTCGTCGTCGTAGTCGTCGTAATAGTCGTCGTCGTAGCAGTAGCAGTAGCAGTAGCAGTAGCAGTAGCAGTAGCAAACGCAAACGCAATAGCAACAGTACGAGTAAGAGTAGTTGTTATATGAAGACTAGAACGACAAATTACTAGTACTACAGTACGCATGCCAGTAGTAGCAAAAGCAAGAGCATGGGAATAGTAGTGGTGTTCGAAGTAGTGCGACGAGTATTGATGATTTTGATGATGAGACCATGAATTGCAAAATATTGACAAATCACCATACTCAGTTTCATGGCTATACAAATACAGTTATGCCTACGTATAACTGTAACTATGACTATTGGTTATGATAGTACAGAAGACTGTAAATTATGGTCACTCTCGGATGAAGGCTTTGCATACCGAACAACTCTACAACCGCACCCCCTCTACCCTAAATCCTACAACCTAGCGCCCTAAACTCCTAAACCCTGAATCCTCCCACGGCCTAACTCCAGACCCTAAATCCTACGACCCAGCCGCGGAATCTTTAATCCCTGAACTCCAAACCCTGCCCCTTCCCCATGCCATCCTCCCCCAGGAGATCGAGTCGTTGCCGGCAGCCGTGAAAGAAGCTAAGGCTCCTGTGTTCGGTGCAAGTTGTTACAAGGAGGGGCCCCTTACTATACTAAGTGTAGTGAAGGGACTTATAACCTATAATTTAGGATCCTTACAACCCAATTTAGGAGAACTCTACTTATTACTAGGGGGGCCCGTCCTTGTAGGGTGGGTTTGAGTTGAGCACACCGGACCCAGAGCCCCCGAGTCCTTGGAGTCCCCGACACCCTGCGCATCCATCAAGCGGTTGGTCGTTCTTGTGATTCCTACTTCAGATCACTATTGTCATTATTCTGCCTAAACCCTAAACCCTAAGCCCTAAAGCCTAAAGCCTAAACCCTAAACCCTAAACCCTAAACTCTGTTATTCTAAGCCCAAAGAAGCCCAAGGGTTAGGAGCCTGAGATGCCTGCGAAGCTCGGGAGCCTTGAGAACTCAGGCGGCCGGGCGGACCGTCCGAAGCCTGGAGCGCATCGCACTGTAACCAGGTAGTATCCCTAAACCCCAAACCCTAAACCGCAAACCCTAACCCCTAAACCCCAAACCCTAAACCCCAAACCCTAAACCCCAAACCCTAAGCCCCCAACCTTAAACCCCTTGGCGCTTCACGAAAATTTTGGCGAGCATGTTTCTGCGGAAGCTGGCGGTGGCGCTGCTAGGCGGCGTTCGGGTTTCGGGTTTAGGACTTATGGGGTTTACTCACTGTCACTCCGATCATGCCTGGCCTCTCTCTCCGCCCGCAGGAGGGTTGACATATTTTTACATCACTGACATGGAGAGTTCGTACTTTCCCCCCCCCCCCCCCCAACCCCCACCATGTGGACTCTTAAGTGAACTCTAAGTGACGACTATGGGGTGCTGACTGGACTGGTCCCGAACAGCCCCATGATGTTGCAGTGTGGGGCTCGGCCCACGGTGATGGAGGTGGCCAGGGTCGACATTTGACAGGCCTCGCCAGAGTTCAACCCTAAACCCTAGACCCTAGACCCTAAACCCTAAACCCTAAACCCTAAGCCCTAAACCCTATACTGGGCCAAGGTCATGTTCCTCCCCTTGCGGGCCGTGTCAGATGCTCCCGCGGTGGAGGCCGAACTTAAGCAGATTGCTGTCGGCCACTTAGCCAGCGGCAGCCATGCCGGAGCAGATCCCAAATCCTAGTTAAGCGCTGTCGTAGCAGAGGAGAAGTTTGTCACAGCTCTGAATCGTATGTGAGCAGCTGCCGTGTAACACCCCGTTTCCCCAGCTTTGCCCCACGCTGCCGGCCGGGGCTTGATGCATCCTTCTGCACTGCCTTTGCTCGCGGAGCCCGCAGAGAAGTAAAGTAGAGACTACCCAACCACTGCTCTTAAAAACACAAGAGGCACACCATCGGCGTCTGCTCTAGGACTCAAAGTAATGAAAGTTCAGCCTGCAGGACATGTACCCTAAGCCGAAAACTCCACTCGCAATGCCAGGCTAGCTTGCTTGACAGGTTTACAGGGCTCAGGGCGGCAGTATGGAAGGCAGCCAAGTGTTCAACTCCGAACTCTCATCACTTCAGCCTGGCCAACACAGCTCCTGCACTGATCTGAAGCCCCAAACTCATCAGCCCTTAGCCCACAAAGCCTTAGAGCTTGAGCACACACCTTGTGGTGTCAGGAACCCTCTAACCCCTGTTTACGGATAGTTAGGGGGTATCCGGGTAATACCAAACCCCCAAACTCCAAAACCCAAACACTAAACCCCAAACTTCCCCGAAACTACCAGTCCTTAATAGGAATTATAATAGCGGGGGGGGGGGAATTAGAATCGACTGTTACGATAATGGGGAACATCCTAAACCCTAAGCCCTAAACCCTAAGCCCTAAACCCGAAACCCTAAACCCTAAACCCTAAACCCTAAAACCCCAAACAAACCCGCAGCTCAGGCCCAGCATCTTTGCCTGGCCTTTCTGCGCCGGCTGCGGCGGCTGGAGCTGTGCTTCCCAGACAGCCAAGCCCTCAGGTCTGGTTTAGAGTTCGGTTCAGGGTTTAGGGTTCAGGGTTCAGGGTTTAGGGTTTAGGGTTCAGGGTTCAGGGTTGAGGGTTTTTAGGCTTTAGGGTTCAGGGTTCTGGGTTCTGGGTTTAGGGTTTAGGGTGTCGGGTTGAGGGTTGAGGGCTTCAAAAAGCAATAGGGTTTCGGGTCATTGAATGCTGCAATGTATGCACGTAGAATTGTGCATGTATATCTGTATCTGAAGTACACATTACACACATTATATGTATATATATATATATACATATGTGGTTGTCGAAGTTGTGGTCCCTTTTCTGGATCCCTATTATAATACGGCACCTGTTCGGGTACCCCAACAGGGATCATAATTTTGACAGCCACGCATATATGCACATACACATTACATATACACGCATATATACATATACATATATATACATATACATACATATATATATATATATGTATAGGGTTCAGGGTTCAGGGTTCAGGGTTCAGGGTTCAGGGTTTAGGGTGTAGGGTTTAGGGTTTAGGGTTTATTGTTTAGGGTTTAGGGTTTAGGGTTTAGGGTTATTATACAAGATGTATCAATGCACACGTGCTGAGGTTCAGGAGCTCTTGCCCCGGTGCTGCAGTTCTTCCACCTGACGCACCACTATAGCTACAGTTGAAACCCTAAGCCCTAAACCCTAAACTCTAAATCCTAAACCCTAAACGCTAAACCCTAAACCCTAAACCTGGGAAGCTTATTTCCTCGCATTTAGTAGTCCTGTGAATCCCAACTGCGGTGTTTCCTGAGGTCGCAGAATGACACTGGAGCGATGTCAGGCGGAGTTGTGCCTACAAGCCGACATGAAGGTTTCCCAAATCAGGGGTACCTGATTGGGGACCTGAGTATATTATATGGGGATGATTATATGGGAATCCGTCTATATTAGGGGTCCACTTGGGAATTTCCCAAATCAGGGGTACCTGATTGGGGTCCGTATTTCAAGGGGATCCTACTATTCGGGGGTCCATTTCAGGGGTTCCTTTTTTCGTAAACCCCCACATAAGCCGGCTGATTTTATGATGGTGCGATCATGGTTTCCATTTATGTTCCTCTCATCGTTGCGACTGCTGATTAAAATCATTATCTTTTGACCGTGCTGCATGCTGAAGAGTGTGTATCAAAACTTTCCACCACTTCAATGTGTCATTCATGGCCAGGTGTACCCTTGCAAGCACGTTGCTGTGGCTTCTTGCTCCAGAACGGACCATCATGGTTGACTCTCCGCTCCTTGGACGGATGGTGCCAAGCATTGGAAGCAGAAGTGGAACACCAACCGTCGTCGACTACACCAGAGCAATTCGTGCATGCAAGCATGGGCGGTGGCAGGCTGCACTGTCTCTGTGGGATGAAGCCTGCGGTAG